ATAAATAATGTTTTTCATAAATATATTCTTAAGATGACTCAAAAATTGCAAAAAGTTTGTTTTGATTATTTGGTCAACTCCCTCACTAAAAAAGAAGAATAACTGTTGAAGAAATAAGAGTTGACCAAAAATAGTATCTAATTTTTCTCTTTTTAAAAAAACTATTTATAAAAAAGCGATGTAAAAATAAAAGAAAATAAAATAAATTGAAAGAAAGAAAGAAATGAAAAGAAGAAGAACTCAAAAAGTGTCAAAGAATAATGGAATTTTTCTTCAAATTTGAAGGTGTTTTTCATACAGAAAATGCACCAGAATGCAAAGAATTAACACAGAAATGTACCAATGAAATTATTAATACAATGAGAGTTTGTTTGCTTTTATAAAACCAAAGAAGGAATAATGATAAATAGGATTGTAACAATCCAGACATTGAACCATCTCAAATGTCTGAAATGCTATTAAAAAAGAAAGACCTGACATCAAATTTAAAAAAGTTAGTTAAATTTATGAAAGGAGAAGTAGAAGTAATTCAAGACCCTGATGAACAGAAAGGGTCAATAGAAGTTTATAAAGAAACAAAAAAACTAGTTAAAGAACTAATTGAGTTACAACAATTAACCGAACTTGATGGAGAAGGAATCAAAAAGTTCTGTACTGGAATGGTTGATGTTATAAAACACGTTTTAGATATTGTTATTTTAACAGATAAATGGTCAATTAAAATCTCTCTTGATTATATTGACCAAATTTATAAAAGTATGATTAATGCAGTAAAATCATTTAAAGAATTAGGTCCTTTAGATAAAAAGGAATTAACTAATTTATATAATAATGCTGGATTTTTAACTAATTCTATTGCTCAATTTACTTCAACTAGAGCTTGTGTATATCCAGATGAACGTTCTGAAAGAATGAAAGAAGACTCTATTGCTTTAAGACCTTCATTTGATAATTTTTTAAAATTTGTTAGTGGAGTTTCTGATGATAAAACATCAGTAACTCATTTTAAACAAATACTAATGGAAATAAAAGATATGTTAAAAGATCCTGCACAATTCTCTGCATCCATTGACGTCACTCAAAAAGATAATCTTGAAGATGTATATAATAACTTCAAAGACGTCATTGATGATCCTACTCTTCCTGACGATGATAAAGATTCTGCTTCTTTGGCTCTTTTAGAAGGTTTTGAAGGAAGGGCTATTGCTAATTTACATAGCACTGATCCAAGACGTGCACGTGCTGCTACTGCTGTTGTTAAAAAAGTAAGAGAAAACAAAGTTGGAAAAAGAAAAAAAGAAATGCTTATGGTTGCTCGTTCTTTAGCAAAAGATATGAAAGCAATTTGTGATCATTTAGAACCATTAGACAATACAGTCAATAAAGAAATGAATGTTGTTACTGATGAGTTGCTTGGTAACCTTTGTGATAAATTAAGTACTTACTAATTCCATTAATAAACAATCTTTTTCACAAACTGCTTTTTTGTTGATTTGAGTTATTCTTTAATGTTTTTGTTTTATAAACATATGAGTATGCATCACATTTATTATTTTTATTGCATCGAATAAAATTGTCTTGGCAAAAAGTATAAAATAAAATTTGAATAAAAAACAGTCAAAAAGGGTATTGAATTTCTTATATAATTATTAATTTTATTGGTGTTAATTGATTATATTTAATTTAAATATATTGAAGTTCTTTTTAATGTAGAAGTATTTTTAATCTTTTTAATTAGTTATTGAAATGTAGAATAATGATATTTATTTATATTTTGGTTAAGAAAAAGTGATGAATGATAAATTAAAAAGAATGAAGAGAGTATAACATTTAAAAGGTTAATAATAAATAAGTTTAGTGTGAAAATTAAGTAATAAGAAATGAAGAATCATTTAAAACAACACAATAAATAAAATGAAATAATTATAATAAATAATTCAAATTAAACAAGTATTATTTATAATTATATAAATGATAATTTTAATAATAGAAATAAAGAAACATAAATGAATAGAATAGAGAGAGGTAGTGATAATTCAAATAATTTAAATATTAAAAATATAAATGTTTATAAAAGATAAAAGAATAAACAATAATATAAATGATATATCAGAATATTTATTGATAAATTTAATTTTATAATAATAATATAAAAATAAAGAGAATAAATGAGATATAATCGAATTATATTTAAATAATCACAAAAATTGAATAGAAATGATGGAACATTTTATCATTCTAATAAATATAAAATGATATTTTTTTACAATTATTACAAAAGAAAATAATATTATATTAATATAAATAATAAAATGAAATATAGAATAATATTTTACTAATTATTAAATTAATTAAAGAAATAATATTAAAAATAATATTAATCAAATAAATTAAATTTAATTCTAATAAAGAAATATCTATTAATCAAAACATTAAATAGATTTGTTTATTATAAATGTTTCATAAATCAAATAATATAAAATTATATATTAAAAGATAGATATGAATAAGTAAATATAATAATAATGAATGAATAATAATAAATACAAATATTTTAGAAGTTTTAAAAACATTAAATATTAAAAAAATGATACATAAAATAAATTTAATTATAAAAATAAATTGTAAAATGATAAATAAAGATATTATAAAGAAATATAAAATAAAAGAAGATGAAATAATATACATAAAATTAGAAATGATTAAATATAATAATAAAAAAATAAATAAAGAATAAAATATGATATTAATAATATAATATGAATAATAAATAGATATATAATAAAAACAAAATTAAAACATATAATAATTATAATAATTATTTAATAAATAATCAAATAATGAAATATAAGTATTTTCATTAAAGAATAATAGAAAATAACAGAATAATTGAAATAAATATAATAAATATATTAATAAAGAAGTTCAATAAATTATAATGATTATGAATAATTTCATATTAAACAAAATGAATATAATATTTGTAGAAATAAAGATGATAACAAATAATAATAAATAAAAGAATAACAAAGATAAAGAATAGAAAAAGAAAATAAGAAAAAAATAAAATTTATCAAAATGGATATCATCAAAAATTTTTAAATCATTGAAAATATTGTATTATATTGATAATTTTAAATAATAGAAAAAAATATAATAAAAAAGAAATATATAAAATAGTTGATGATGTAATAAAGAATGAAACATATAAATAAATAATTAAAGAAACTTAAATTATATACAAAATA